CAGTGCTGGGTTTGGAGGTTCATGCTGTACCTAGCTGAAAAATCTATTTATTTAACTTGCTAATGTAGCTAGTAGATGTGAGGTTCCTTCTTTGCTTTTCTCCTTCCTGTTGATATACTCTGAAATGTCTGAAGAGTTGTTTACCTCACTTTCTTCTTTTCTAAGACAAATTGGAAGACATGAACACTAAAATTTGGATGGCATAATATCATTATTATTGTCCCCTCATACCTTGTAACTCTTGCATAGGCTATTCTTTCATTATTTCTATGGACCTTAAGCATTCACAGGTATTCTCCCAAATAGGTGCCCTACCAGGATTCAGGCCAAATGACACAGGTTTTAATTACTAGCCAAGGAATCTTAAGAATCAAATCTATATCTATATCTATGTGTGTGTGTGTGTGTGTGTGTGTGTGTGTGTGTAAAATTATTTAACATTATTTTATGTTCAATGGCACACAAAATGTAAGGTGGTGAACAGCATCCAACAGACTGCCTTGAATCACTCAGCAAAAATTTATTAAAAACCTACTGTCTTCAAAGTAGCTACCATGGCCTTGGTCATATAGCATGCTTGGAATTTCTGCAAGGAATCAGAAATGAGTGAATCATAGTAGTATGGACCTTCGAAGTGAGGAGTAGGGGAATTTATAAATATTCAAATTCCCAGATCAAACAGAGAGGTCCCAGGAAGCCTTGAAAACCACTGCTCTAAGTCATCAAGCCTCAGGGGCCCAGTGATCCCTAGTCCATCCAAAGCTGGGCCTGTTTTCCAGTTGGAGTATAGTTTGCAGGATACGCGTGTGAAATTCATCCTGGTGCTAGAAGGCATATACATGCAAAGAGGGCCAAGCCCTAGAGGAAAATCAGCAGGATCTGGGCGAGGTTCAGAGCTTGGAGCCCAATGGCCTGAGGATCAAGCTCTCTGTACCTGGTGGAGTGCTAATTAGGGACTGTATAAAGATGTGTTATGCATTTTGTCATTTTTTGTGTGTCAGATACTGTATAAAGCTCTTCACTAATGTAATCTTATCCCATCCTCATGACAGTTCTGTGAGATTGAAGCTGATATTTGCAGATGGCCAAGAAGTGACTTAACTCCTAACTACAGAGGCCTTCTTCTCTCTTTCCCTCTTCATGTTGCCTTCAAAAGTGGGCTGCACTCCCACATAGACAGTGGGAGAACATTCAAGTATAAAGGGCTCTTCTTTTTCAAAATTTATTTTTAATTAAATATTTGAGACTGTCATACAAGCATACAGTGTATTTTGACCATATTTCACTCAACTCCTCTACCAGTCTCAACTTTGTGTCCCTTTTCTCTCTCTCCTTTTATCCATCAAGACCAATTTCTGCTGCTATACACTTGTGCATGTGGGGCATCCATTGGAGTGCGCTTGACCTACCCACAGTCATACCTTTAAAGAAAACTGACTCTCCCAAAAGTCATCAGCTGTCAACAGCTCTCCAGCCAGAGACAGGGCTTATGAGTGCCTTCCCTCTTCATGCTGGAATGCAGAGTGGCTTGATCTTGTGCAATCTTGCACAGTCAACTATAGCTGCTCTGAGTTTTTGAGCACAACAGCCCTGTCATGTCCACAAGACACTGTTCAGCTCCAGTCCTCCTCAACCTGTGACTCTTACACTCTTTCCACCCTCCTATTCCTTAATGGACCTTGAGTCCCATGGGATGGATAAGGATATAGATGCCCTTCTTGCCACTGAGCACTTCATAGACATTTATTTTCTGTACTTTGACCAGTTCCTGAGTTTCTGCATTAACCACTGTCCACTGAATAAATCTCTAAGGTGTGAGAGCAACACTAATCTGTGGGTATAGAGACATGAATTTAGAGGTAGTTTGATACTATGTCCATTTAGCAAGTAATGGCAGTAAATTCAGTCCTGGGGTCAACAAGCTCTATTGACATGGGCTCTTGCCAGATTTACAGCATTAGGTATGCACTTCCTCCTGTGAAGCAAGCCTTAACAAACACCATCATTTCACCCACGGTGTATCTTGCCATTCTGTTTGTATTGTAGCTGACAGGGTTCACAGCTGGATAAGACATTGATGACTTTTCCCTCAGCAGCCTGCATGGCACCTTCCAGGAAGATGAACGCTAGCCAGAAAGGGGGAACTTCTAGGTCGGTACCAACTTGACAATGGTACTGATATCTTGTGGCAAAAGTGTGTGCTATTGTCATCAATAGTCTTCACATCAAGTTCTAGTGCTTAGGAAGCTTATGAAAAAGTAGGTTTCCATCCAGCTTCTTCACACATCCTAAGTGTTAGTTATCCCTCCGCTCCTCTATGCCACCCTCTCCACCCTTTCCCCTACTTAAACCTCTCTTCCCATTGTTCAGTCATTCCCCTTCATATCACCTAGGGCTCCTCTTGCAGGAGACACCAGGCATCTGGGAATGTTCACACTCACCAGCAGGCAAAATCAGCTCCCATTAACTTCTAACTGCCAAGGTTCCCATGGTTTCCAGATCAGGGCTCAGTCAATGCAGGGCAGTTTGTCTTTATGCCTGCCACAGTTATCTGCTTTTGTTTCTTCTCCAGTACCCAAGTCGGGGAGGGGGCTGCCTGATGATCTTCAACTCCATTCACATCAAGCTATAGTGTCTGCTGACAGATTCAAGAGGGCTGTGCTTTGGGAACCACTGATTTTGAATAAAGATCAGGAGCTTAAGTGAGTAAAGGCACTAATAGGAGAGGGGATAAGAAGGGCTTGAAAGATAGGCTGAATTCCTGAAGTCACACTTTTGGATAAACTGGATGCTAAGTGCTGTCTGGAGAGACATGATAAGATCTCAGGAGATAGAGGGATTAAGGGTTCTGCTGCTTCAGAAATTCTCTTGAAGTACTTTTCCTACCACTGTACAGGCTTGTTTGCACAAAGTCCTCATTTTTTAATGGGAACAATAAGTATGTGTATGCTTTTCACAAAGATAGTCATTAGTGGTCATTATCAAAGCCTCTTTCTTTTTCATAACTGAGGTTATAGACCCAAACACTGCTACATTAGTATTCAAACAGTGCTGTCCTGCCTGCAATAAATGGTAAACAACAGTATCCACCCCTTATTTTAGTTCTACAGGAACTCAAGACAATTAAAAATAGAAAAGAAAAGAAATAAAAAGGAAAGGAACATGACTGGTCCCGGGTTTCGGTCCCAGATGAATGAAAAGAAGTAAAAAGGAAAAGATATGATTGGTCCTAGGTATTGGCACCAAATAATGAAAAAAAGAAATAAAAAAGGAAGAGACATGACTGCTCCTGGGCATGTTAGAGGAGAAAATTTATTATAGGTCTGTGGGAGAGCAAAGTCAGAGGCAGGAGCATCTGGGAGATTTCACAGTGGACATGCCCCTGAGCCATGTGAGGAGAGGGGGGAGAGAGAGAGCGGGAGAAGAGAACCAGGTGCAGCAGCCAGGAGGCCCCAAATGATCAAGTAACCAAAATGGTTGGGTTGCACAGGGAAGGACAGCCCAGTCCCTGGAGTGGAGAAGTACAGGGTAGGGGCAAGGTATGCCAGCCAGGAGGGCCCTGTAACAGGCAGGCACTGAGGAATGCAGGGAGAACCTGGCAGGCAGTGTCTGCTCTGATACCTTAAATAGGCACCTTGTCATTTGTCCCAGGTTTGAAACCTAACAAAGACAATGGAAATTTTTTCTACTTAACAATCACTTTTGAGCTCTTCATTGCTCTAACAAATACATATGACTATAACTAGTGGCTACCACACATGTTATATATATCTAGATTTAGAGATGGTGATTTGCTTGCTGAGGGAATATAGCAGTAACCAGTGGATGATACTCTAAGATAATGTCAAATTATATGATCACTTTCTGTATCCTGTATATAAAACAAGTAATTTTATTAATCAGCAGCGAGAGTTGACTTTGTCATTTATTTTCTACAAATGTTGAAAACCATCTGACTTTTCCAAGCTGTGCTTTCTACCATGATACAGCAAAAATATTAATACTTGCCTTGAGAAGTTCTTCTAAGAATTGAATTGTAAGAGAATGTACTATCTGTGAAGTGCTCAAAAGCATGGGTTGATGAATAGGTACTTGATGCTCAATAAGTGAGGCTTTGAAAATGTATTGTCAAACTTTAGAGACTTTAAAACTATCTACCTAAGTATGCATAGGATAATTAAAGAAGTATCAGTTTCACTTTTAATCCAAACGAACACATTTATTGCAGGAGTTCAAATATGTAAGTGAACAAATAAAAATTGCAAGGCCCCATTCCAAGGTTCACACTGTGGAGGCAGTCCACTCTTGACAGGTTGACACATATTCTTTCGACATTTTGCTAGGTATCTATCTACAAATATTTAATTTTAAAACACAAGTTTAGATTATATACAGTGTTCTGCAACTTGAAATTTTGATTCAACAGTGTATTTAGACCTAGTATTCTATTTTCTCAGTTGGATTTTAATTGATGATATAAATCTATTATTAATTAATAATTGGGCTATTTATTATTTTTTGCTATTTCACTCACTGGTGTAGTGAACATTCTTAAGTAATCATCTTTTGGCATGTGTACTCGGTATTTTTTTCTAGGACAAATTCCTAGAAGAAAAATTAGTAAGTCAAAGAGTACTATACTGATCAGCCTTTGTTAACCTGCATGGAGAATGTTAAAGCATGGGTTGTGTCCCCCAAGAATTTACATATGAAGCCTTTGATTCACCCAGTGCTTCAGGATGAGACTATTTAAAGATGGGGCCTTTAAAAGGGAGATGAATTTATTAAGAAGATGAGGTGGTTATAGGGGTCCTAAATCCACTCTGACTCTGACTCATATCCTAATAAGACAAAGAAGTTTGGATGTCTGAAGACATCCACAGTGTGCACGCACAGAGCAAAGACTATGCAAGGAGACAGGGAGAAGACAGGCATCTGTAAGCCAGGAGAGAAGCTTCAGGAGAGACCAGCTTACTAACACATGGATCTTGGCCTTTCAGCCTCTACAACTGTGAAAAATAGATTCACTGATGACATCCAGCTTGCAGTATTTCATTGCAGCAGCCCTCACAGACGAATGTGAACGTCTTGGTGTAGTGTGCTGTCTGAGGCCCTGGAGTTATGAAGCTGTTCTTCGCTCCCCCTGCATCCCTGCCTGTCCTTCTCCGCCCTCACTGCCCCTCCTCCCTCCCAGCGTGCTGCAGTTACTCATCAGGTTGTTTACTATGAACCTTGGGAAACCTCAAGACTCTTTGGAGGTTAGTGAGCAAAAATTATTTCTACTTTTAGCTTTTTCACTATTATTATTAGGGTGTAACTAGTGTGTTGAGAACATATCACAGCACATAGCCAGAAATCAGAAGGCAATTTGTGAAGTTGGTTCTCTCCTTCCACCATTTATATGGATCCCAGAAATCAAACTCATGTCATAGGCTTGTGCTTTTACCTGATGAGACACTTCTATGGCCACATTTTTTTGTTGTTTTATTTTTCCTTTTGCTTTGTTGTACCTCATTCTGGCAAAAGATTACAGGACAAAGCTATTACAATATTTTCCCACTGAATTATACAATAGTAAGAACAAAAGCAATAATTTTTCCCCCACAAAAATCTCTCAAGTATTTCTTCCTTGGGTTGATGGGAATACACATTCACTTGGGTGGATCACTTTAAGTTCATTAAATTCATTGTTTGTAGTACAGAGGCTTGGATTTAGAGGCCACATAGGTTAGGCAAGCTGTCCCACCACTGAGCCACATCTCTGTCTCTTCTAAAATTTTTAATTTTATTATTTTTTGAGACAAGGTTCTGCCTTGTCTCAGACACCCTCCTCTGTCAGCCTTCAAAGTAACTGGTGTTACAGGCCTGAGCCACCGAGCCCAGATACAGCCACCTTCTGATTCACCTAATTGAATGAATCTGCACTGACCTAGGAGCTAAAGGCACAGCCCTTTCACACAGTCCCTCTTCCTGACCACCCCACCTCCCTCACCCTCCTGAAATCTGATGTGTGTGCTTCTTTGAGAAGCAGGAAGGAAACCTGAAATGACCAAGGATCTATCCTATGGTCTACAGCCTGTCAGCAACCTTCACATACTTGGCATTCTTTTCATTTCCTAAAGAAGTGACTCACCCAGAACTCATAGCCACAGTAGTTGGAACAATTAATCTCAACGTCTTCTATTAATTTTTCCCTTTAACAATTTATTTTACCTGTAAAATAAAAGACTGCTTTGCTGGATATGTGCATTTTGGTTGTAAAAGCAGAGGAATGTATCTGTCAGTGGTCTAAAAGAGGATTTTTCTTTTCTGATCTCTTTCTTCCCAGAATTCATTTTGGCTGTTCAAGCACCAAAGGCCTGGGAAGCCTGTATTTACTTTTCCCTAACAGATCAGGAAACCATGAGGGGAGCTGAGTCAGACCTGTCTCAACTAACAGGTCAGGATGGCCTAGAAGCAATCTGACTGAAGTAAGAGGTGAGTGAGCACACTGCCAATACAATCCACTGAGAGAGGAGGGAGGGAGGGAGGGAGGGAGGGAGAGAGAGAGAGAGAGAGAGAGAGAGAGAGAGAGAGAGAGAGAGAGAGAGAGAGAGAGAGATCTGTCACACAGAATTTGCAGGAAGACTATTATGAAAGGACTTTTCTCTTGTGCTTGTTTATTTTTGCCCTAATGTATTTCTATGTATGTGCAAAGAAAGTTGGGGACAAATTAAGAAACAAACCCAAAGATAATAATCTCCCTATTTGTAATATTCACATTCTACCTTTTTGTCCTTTTATTGCATTTTTAGGTATTGCTTTTTCCATTCTATTTAGTTTACTAAGCCATGTAAGAACCTCAAAATACATGCAATTATTCCCAATAAACTTGAGTGGCTACCACATGTAAGGAATTCTACCCGACTTTGTAGGAGATACTCAAGGCATTGTGCTAAGTTCTGTATCAGACAGAGAAGATACCGTCTATCTCAGGATCTGGAGATCTGCTCAACAGTTTGCAGAGACAGCTAGATTTTACACAGGAAAACATTCTAATTGTCTAGTGGTCAGTGAAAGAATCTCAATATCACTTATATTTAGCTAAAAGCCCAAGAGTATTTTGAGACAATAGCGAGTAAATGAATACTTTTATCAGAAACCGATTTCAGAAGGGTTCATTTGTGTGTCATAATTTATGAAAGGGAGAGAGAGTTCCGCCCATGACATATGTGCACACCAGAGCCACAGTTATATCATCATCTGCAACACAGCTGCTTCTCTTGAATTCTCACATTCAGAACTTCAATAGTATGCAGCATATGGGCTATGAAAAACTATATTTGAGCCAGGTCAGAATTTGGTAGGTAGCTGATTTAGAGTATTAGGCCTTCTCTACCCTAAGAAATTAAATTAAGGAGCACACAAATATGGCCTTTGGAGACAAGAACTTGAGTAGAAATGCCTACAGAAGTGTCAACTGAGATATTACTATCATTTTGGATGAAAAAGATGTCCATTATTTTCACTTCATGAAGTCTCTTCATCTGTGGATAGTGTTTGACTGGCATGATGCTATTATTTACTGTAGAATTTCTGGAAGTAAATAAAATAAGAAAAAGCATTAACCAAAACAAGACAAGTCATTTGGTTCCAGGGAATGAAATCATATCCTGAGTAACAATCACAAATACTATCATTTGCACTCTTGTTTTCTGTCAGGTGCTCAAGTACCTCCCTAAAATAGGGTCCAATCAATATGAAATGTTAAAGATGAAGTAAAAGAGTCTTTGGGTTTGGGATGGGTAGATAGCTCAGTTGGTAAAGTGCTTGGCATGCAAACATGGGGACCCAAATCTCATGTTAAACTAGGTGTGGTGACTTGTGCCTGTAACCCCATGCTGTGGATGCTGAGACAGGAGGGGCTCTAGGGCTTGTAATAATTGCTATTGTAGCCAGTTGATTCAATGAGAGAGTGTGCCTCAAAAATGTAAGATGGAGAAGAATTGAGGAGGATACTTGATGCTGACCTCTGACCTCTATACACACACACACACACACACATGCATGTGAGCTCACATGAACAACAAATATATAGTGTTTGTGCAAGTACTTGAGATACACACACACACACACACACACACACACACACACACACACACACACAGTCTCTGCACTGTTAGGACCCACACAAAAGAGGGCAGTAGTGACACAATATTTTAACAATTACTAATCTTCTTACCTGTCCCAATCAGTCTCCACAGTACTGCAATGCAATTGCTTCACTTAAAGCAAGCAGATCTGTCTAGCACAAATGCCCAGGCATTTGTTTCCTCTTTAAATTTCCTCTTATCCTGGATGTGAGTTCTCTAAGGTAGACCTTCAGAAAAATCACGAGTCACTAATCAAAGTCTGCTAGGAAAGGGCAAATAGGACCAGGCTAGTGTGTATTGCTTATAAAATGATGTTCATGTTCTAACCTATTACATCCATTTAAACTTAGTTAAGTTCAATTCAATTCACTTTTGTACAGCAGGAAGTATTCAGTCATTGCCAAAGTCAATATATTAAGCCTAGTTGCTGAAGGCAGCTGGTTTCCCACAGATAGTACTATGTGTCCCTATTTCCGATTTCAGTCGATTTCTGATTCAGTGGTAGGAAATGCCTAAGGGAGTTTGCAGCAATGCCCTTTTCCACTTGTAATAGATTTTATGAACTTTGGATTTTTCTCCTGGATAGCTCTAAAACTAATGTCAAACCAAATAAAACAAAACGACAAGGTAAGTGGTTTCTTCTTCCTGTCCCAGAAGCAAGTGTCCTGCCAGTCTATTGTCACGGATGTGGAATCCCCAAGGAGAAGAGGGGCTCTCATATGTATGAGAAACAAGTTTGTAAGAAAGCTCTGGAATGTGAACATTCCTTGAGACTCCAGTGATAACCGGAGATAAATTTGGACTTCTGGGACATCCTATTTCTGTGCTATGTCTTCGCCCACTCCCTTCTTGGCTGGTGGGAAAAAGAGGTAAAGAATTTCAGAATGGGAGGCATTTATTCTGATATTTTTTTCCTGTTTGTTTAAATCTCTGGGCTGACACTGCAATCCCCACTTCCTTTCCTTTCTCTTCTCTTGCTGTGTTTTGACTTTTCTTCTGTGATAGTTGATCTTTAAATAGATCAAGTATGAAGTTTTATTTTTCTCTAATTTTTGTTCATTAACCTTGCAAATATCACATTCTTGTACTTTGTAGATTCCTAATCTATATAGGGATATATTAGTATCTATTCCCTTTTGTTTGTCAAACATCTCAATTTTCAATTATTTTAATAAGCTTGCAATTTCCTCTGGTAACTATGGTATTTAATCATGAATATTTAAACCACACTCAGATTTCATAAAAAAAGAGACCTTGTGGATGGTAGATATATTAGTTATTTTTTTGTTGCTGTGATAAAACACCTGAGAAAAGCAACTGAAGGAAGCGATTTTTGTCTTCTGGTTCCAGAGGGATAGAGTCGACCATGGCAGGGAGAGGGAGAAGGGGGAGGGGAAGGAGGAAGGGAGAGAACTCCTATGCACCAGCTGTGGGGATGCACACTGTAATCTCAGCACTAGCAAGGACGAGGCAGGAGGACTGTTATGAGTTCAAGACCAGACAAGACTACACAGAGACTCCCAGAGTTCCAAGGTCTGCCAAGCAGCTACTACGTGTTGGCCTCCTGGGGAAGTGAAGGTTGCTGCTGAACATCCCGACACAGAGCCCGAGTAATTTGTGCCTCTGCAGCAGTGCTCAAATCTGTCCTCCAGGACATCTTTTCATTACTAAAATTACTGAGGATCCCTGACAGTGCCTGTCTATGTTGGATACATCTACTGAGCTATTATATTTGAAATTAAAACTGAGAAAAATTTAGAGTATTACTGATTTAACTCACAAATATCTAAAATTCATTAAAATATAATAAACTAATATATGTTAACACAAAACACATCTTATGAAAAATATTTGTATCTTCTAAAGCAATAAAAGTTAGGTTGAGAAATGTCATTGTTTTACATTTTGGCAAATTCCTTTAACATCTAGCTTAATAAGTAACAGCTGATTCTTTTATGGATTTTTTTTGCATTCAACTTGTTACAATTATACTGGAAAATGTCAGTGTATTTTTCATGAGAAAAAGATTTAGCAGAGAATAAATCCTCATATTCAGTTTAAAATTGGCCTTAAAAGTCAGTATTAGTATGTTAAAATATTAACCTTTCAGCTCCCCACATTCTCAGAGACAGAATCCCCTTCTCACTGCCAGGATTCCTCACTCAACACCTAACTACTGTATTAGTGCCTACTACACAATTATCCCTCAAGAAATAGTTGCTGGATTAAGTAATGGATACTATACCCTATGTTGGGACTATATAGGTTACCAAGAATCCCTTCTCTCAAGAAGTTTGTACTCCACTGGAAGACAAATATTTATGAGATTGTATTAGCACAATATGAGAGTAAATACAAGATGCTATGGAAGTTTAGAGGGTATACCACCCAATCCTGGAAGATCAAAAAAGGTCTTTAGGGGAAAACTGGTTAAACTGAGACAAAGTAAACATCAAATGAGAAGTGTGAGTGGAGTGTTACAGATGGAGGGGGCAGCAGAACTTGCTAGAGTCAAGCCATGAAGTGAGCAGGCCAGAAGGGAGGAAATCTATCATGTAAGTTTTCCAAGAAAAAGTCTGAAGACTAAACTGGAGACTGACACAGTTAAGGCTCAGAATGATCACTATGGATCATTCTAAGTGAAGAATGAGTCGTAATACAAAGCAACAGGCTGAAACGCTGCTACAAGGAGCTAAGTCAAGAGAATGGATTTGTCTAAAAGTAATGGAGATAAAAAGAAATGGAAGTAGAGTTGGGAAAGGAAACTTGAGTGGATTTCCTGATGATTGTAGAAGGGCAGGGTGGAGTATGACACCCAGATTTCTGGCTTGTACAACTGATCAGTGATGATACCATTTAGAGATCTGAAGCAAATACAGGTACAATGAAATGAGAATTTTAGTTTGGGATGAGATGTTGTTTTGAGATACCCTGGATCATCCAGGATAGACATTTTAAAGGTATGTAGACTTTATGGTTAAGAGAGAACTGGACTTGATACTTACACTTCGTTAGCACACATGATTATGGAAGCCAGGGAGACCACAGAGGACTGTTAAAGGTGAGATGGGGAGCAGGATGGTGCAGCGGATAAAAGCACTTGACAGGTAAGCCTGATGAGTTTCATCACTGAAATCAACGGTGAAAGGAGAGAATAGATTCTCTAAAGTCCTCTGACTTCTGCACAAGTGGTATACATTCACACACACATATACTATTAATGATAAATTACTTTTTAAAAAGAGACACAGATCGAATGAGATGCCTCAGTGGTTAAGATCACTGGCTGATTTTCCAGAAGACCTGGTTTCCATTCCCAGCACCCATATGGCAGTTCATATTCATATGTAACTCTAGTCCCAGGGCATCTGATGTCCTCTTCTGGCTTCTTTGGGCACCATGTACACACATGGTACACAGACATACATGCGGACAAAACACTGATACACATACAATAAATAAAAAGTATATCTTTATGTATATATGTGAGATAGGAACAAATCAGTTTGAACAACTTCTAGGCACATGATATTTACGTGCCAGCAGAAGATAATCCTAGAAGACAAGATTTTAAAAAAAGAGCTAGAGATCTAGGAAGAAAACCAGGAAAGTGTGGTTTTAGATACCAAAAGATGTAAATTTGCAAACTATGGTTACTGGTATCTAACGCTGTAGAGAAGTTGATTAAAACAAGAAAAAAAGGTCTACTGTACTGATATCCTTATGAAGAATTTAGGTAGAGTGATAAGGGTAAAATCCTGAAGCTTATTGACTAGAATAAAAAAATGCATTGAGAGAAGTTCCTGAGAAGACAGAAATATGTGCTTCAGAGATGGTAGAGGGTGAAGGAAACACCTTATCCGTGGTGCCAAGTCAGATGTGTATGCAGGCAGGCTTGGGAGTGAGGAAACAATCGGTTGGTTTATAACGGTTTTGTTGTTGTTGTTTTCTGAAAATAAGCGAGAGAGAGAGAGAGAGAGAGAGAGAGAGAGAGAGAGAGAGAGAGAGAGAGAGAGAGATTGAGATTGACAATAATGCAGAAAATCTGACGCGGCTGTTGCTGAAAGTGGGAAGAAGAGCTCACTAGAGGAATAAGCATTGCTTGATGAATTGGGCAGTTCACTTGATTTGTACATTGTAAATATATATCAGAAACAACCTACATGGTCAGCCCAGGATTTCATATCAACTTTCTTTTTCAAACCTTTTTCTGAATTAGGTTAAGATCTAGGCTTTATTTTGTGAACAAATGTAATACCATAGACAGCACAACAGAAAGATCATAAAAAGAGCACAATTCTCACCTTCTGTATTTGCTTACATGTAATTTTCAACACATATACAATATATAACATCAGCTACTTAATCTCTTTCTGAGAAAGCTCCACATAGTATAATCTCATTTCCTGTAATCTTCCACGAATTTTCAATGGAAAGCATTGAAGTTATTATTTGGGGTAGACTTTGTATGACAGCATAAATATATCTTTGACATTATTTATATTGAGAATTTGTCCATTTTCAGGAAATGACACAACATTCACTAATCTCTTAATGAGAATCTGACCTTACTAAAAGCTCTTCCCCAAAGACATTTACTGACAGAGACAAATATTTTCTTCTTTATAGACTACTAAATCATATCAATTATAGTATTTGGTTTAATTTTACATATAATCATTATAAATTAACTATATATAAGAAGTATCAGTAAGTTTCCACTATGCACAGGACATGCATAGTCTATTGAATTCTGACAAAAACTTCGTAAGTATTATCTTCACTTATAAAGGAGGACACTTGATCACAAAAAGTTAAGAAACTTATCCTAGGCCACATACCTAATATTGTAAGCTGGGATTTGAACCCAAGCAGTCTGACTTTGTAGTTAAAAAAAACGTACTTGGAAATATTTCAAGTACACAGAAAATAGTTACAACTGAACACCCACGTACCCTAATACCTAATTTCAGTATACCTTAAGTTTTGGCTGCCACATTTTCTGCAGGTTACTTGTCTAGAAAATAATAACAGGTACAGTGGGACGCTTCCTGTTACATTCCCTTCTCTTCCTCAGTAAAAGTAGCCATTATTTTAAATTTTATATGTATCATTTATGAGACTTGCACTTTGATTTCATGGCTTCTCATTTAAAAACTTTTATTTATAATAGAGTATTTCGGGACCTTGCTTCCCCCTTGGTATTGTGTAAATGTAGGTATCCAATTAATGCTAGTAGCTTTAGTTCCTTGAATTTCATCCTACTGTCTGTGTATGAACTTTTTAATAACAATGTAACTTATCCATTCCATTAGTATTGTTTCACTGATACAACTGTTGCTATAAAGATTTATATAGTGCGCACAGTAACTTTGTATACAAAGTTCCTTAACAAGCTCCTGGACTTCACAGCAAAGAGAGCCATCGGTCAAGAAAGGAACTAAAGACAGGGGTGACTGATAGCGAACTGAGAATACTCTCCCTAGGATGCTCCAAAACGATACCTCCCGCCTTCCAGTGACACCCTCCACGGTTCACTGAGTTCCCCATGTGTCCATTCATTTCCTCAACCTGAGCGGAGCGGGGGACCAAGGTGAGTCAACAGGAGTGTGTCGGGCGGGGTACAGCCCGCAGCGGGAACTGCACAAGTCGGCCTCTCCACTGCGCCCGACCACCAGCAATGCCAAGAAGGAAGGGTCGGGGCCAGCGGGGCCTGAGCTCCCCCTCCACCCCGCAAGTCGCGGGAGCGAGGGAACGGGATGCAGCGGAGCACAGACACCTGCCGGCTGCTTCTCTGTCACAAGGACGTCAGGTCCGTGGAAGGACCCAGGCGGGCCCCAACCCCGAGGGCGATATTTCCACGAGCTGGCTCTTTAAGCGGCGCCTCCCAGCCTTACGCCAATTCCGTAAGGAGCGGTGGAGGCCAACCCCGCGGCTCCCGCGGCTCCCAGGCCTGACGTGCGACTGCGCGGGGCGGCCCTGGCGGCGGCGGCCATCTTTAGTCCGGGCAAGACCCCGCCCTCGCGCCCCATCCCCCCCGCTCGCCCTCCCGAGCCCCCAGGATTTTTCAGCGGCCCAAAGTAGCGCTGTTCATCTCCGAAGCCGCGTCGGAGAAGCATACAAAAGACCCTACTGTCCACGACAACGGAAGTGCCCAGGCGCGGCCAATGTAAACATGGCGGTGAAGGAGGGACAGCGAATCGGCGGCGGCGCCGGTGAAGTCATGCTCGCCGCGAAGCAGGGCGGCGGGCGGAGGTGGGTAATCTCGCGAGAACTCAGCCGCCTCGGCTGGGCCCGGAAGCCTCAGGGCGGGCGAGCGCCAGTGGGGCCGTCGGCCTGCTGCCGTGTGCGTAAGTGGGGCGGCTACGCCGCGGAGTCGGCGTAGGTGGCTTTGGAGAATCCGGCGGCTGCGCGGCGCCGGGGCTGGTCGCGGAGGGGGAGGGGATGTCGGTCAGTGCGAGATCCGCTGCTGCTGAGGAGAGGAGCGTCAACTGCAGCACCATGGGTGAGCCTCAGCCCCCGGCCGCCCGGCCATCCGGGACCCCGGCTCGGGGCGCGCCGACCCTCGGCGACCTCCGGCCGAGTGGGGGGAACGCCCTGGGGGACCAGAGGGGCGAGCGGCGCGGCAGGGCGGCGGAGAGGCGGAGGGCCCGGGGCGCGGCGGCCGGGGGGAGGGGAGGCGGCCGCGGTGACAGTTTGAATTGAGCCGAGCCGAGGCGGCGGCGGCGGCGGCGGCGGCGGCGTTTCCTGCGCCTTGGCGGGCGGGCCTGGGGAGCGGGCGGGCGATCGGGAGGGCGAGCCGCGGCCTCTTGAGGCCCGAGCGGCCGGAGCCGCCCCGTCCTAGCCCTCGCCCGCCTCCGAGGCCAGCCTTTCCTGCGTCTCCTCCGGCCTCCGGCCCCCGCGGCCTTGCCTGCCCGGGTCTCCTCGTGGGTGTGTGAGCCCGGCGAGCAGGGTGGGGATCTGGGAGCGAGCTCGGTGCCGGGTCTCTCCGGGCCAGCTGGGGAGGGAGGAAGAAGGATGCACTGGGCTGGGGCGGCGGTGGCGGCGGTGGCGGCGGAGGCTGCAGCAGCTCCAGCAGCTCCAGCAAACATGTTGCTGCTCCCTTGCTCCTTCTCCGGGTGCAACCGGGAAGGCTGGTGGATGGCGAGCGAGTCCCGAGACGCATCCCGAGCTTGGTTTTGGGATTAATTTTTAGGAAAAAGGGAAAGAGAAGGTCTGGAAAGGGCGCCCCCCCGGAGGAGGTGTAAAGGATGGGAAGGGTGCCTGGAAAGGGGAGGGGGGTGGGCAGACACGGACTGGAGAAGTTTAAGGAAATTAATTTGGGAAAATAATTTCAGTATTCTGTTTTTCTCTGAAGCCTTTTCATTTCCTTTCCTCCCCCACATGCTGGAAAAAGAACAGGCCATTTCATTCATATTTTCCACTCCAGATTTCCATTTCGTACTTTTTATGTAGTATGAAATAAGCGGTTGAGGTTTTTTTCTTACACATTTCTTTTTGCTAAGTTACTTTTTAGAGTACACTGTTGCAAGTCTGCGTTCTTTCAGTTGAAGGGATAGAATCTGTGATGCCCAGATGTTTGCTAAGTTACCGAAAACATTACTTACTACTTAAATCTCGGCAAGTGTATTGCTAAATAGTTCAGCTTCAAGAGTTACTTATTTGGGTTCTCTAATTTTGGTGAAAAGGAAAAAAATATCTTTTTCATTGCCTCTGAGAATCCAGGGGAACAGGTAATCTAGAGTGACAAGCATTTCTTTTTCTTATTCACATGTTTATGTGCATTCAGGTAGTGAGAAGATGTCCTGCTTACAGCAGGAGTACAATTTGTGGAATCCTGGTAGACTGCAGAATGGACACAGGTTCTTCCGGGAGTCTTTACTTTTCCAAACAGCAAGGGAAAGAGTAGGGGATGATGGCAGAGTGGAGGCAGGAAACAATCTTTCATTACATCCAGCTGAATGGGACTAGAGTAGATAGGGCTTGAGTGGAGCTATAAAAGAAAAGGAAACTACATTGGTAGTTTACATGCTAGCGATGTGTTATTCAGTGATAGGGCAATGTGATGGAGCCTGGTCCTCTTTATACTGTTATTAAAAATATCACATAGGCACTCA